GGGAATGGGGGGTGGGCTGGGGGGAGGGGAGGCAAGAGAGGGAGAACAGGGGAATCTGTGGCTATTATGTTGAACTGAAAGGTGTTGTAAAATAATAAAAAAAATTATAAAAAAAAAGAAAAAAAAGAAAAGAAAAGAATAGGAAAACATAAATAAATAAAAGCTGACAGCCATCAGCTCTAAAGGTTAACTTCTAACAATGGCTCTCTGCTTACAGCCAGCTCCTCTTTCAACAGCTGGGGGTTAACTTTTAACTCCCTAGCTCCTTATAGCCAACAACTGCCTTGACCAAAGTTAACTTTTAAAAGATATTTCTAAATGACTTCTGGCATGCATCCCACGACTAATGTTTCTACATGACTTTTAGCTTGAATCTGTGCTGAAATGTGGTGATATTTTCTTTGTGCTTTAATAAATAAAGCTTGTCTGGAAATCAGAGGAAAAAGACAGCCTTGTAAGTAAACACAAAAGTCTGGCAATGGTAGCACATGTCTTTAATCCTATTGCTTGGGAGGCAGGGATCTGTCTGGATCTATATGAGTTCAAGGCCACACTGGGAACAGAGCCAGGCATGATGGCACATTCCATAAATTCCAACACTAGTTAACCATGGAGGTCTGGATGTCTGTACAGACAGACAGGAAGTGACAGAGCTGGGCAGGAAGAGGAAGTGATGCAGCTTGACAGAGAGAGCAAATCAGATGGCAGAACAGCAAGACATATAGGCATGAGTAGACAGGAAGTATTTTGCATTTGGAAGATGTGGAGTTGGTGGGGTAAGGTTAGCTGTGACTTTCTCTATTTCTCTTCTCTCTCTCAGGCTTTCACCCCTATATCTGGCTCCATGTTTTTTATTTAATAGGACTCTTTAGAAATTTGTCTACATGTATCCCATGATTGATGTGTTCCACCTTACTATAACAAGGGGGCTAGAACCCACCTCCATTACCACCGCCTCAGAATCCGAACACTGGTTGTGGTCTCAGCTAGCTGGTAAGCTTTTGTGCCCTGTGTTTATTTTCCCCCCACTTTTTTTATTTTCTGGAATACACTCTGCTTCTGGTTTAAAAGACTTTGGTGGTCTATCCCCCATTATTGTATGATCCCAGACCCAACATTATCACATGCAACAATTAAATCAAGATTGATCAGATAAAATATTCAAATAGACCCCTAAGGAAATAGGATCAGTCATTGAAAGTCTCCCAATCAGAAAATAAAAGCACAGGGCCAGATGGTATCAGTGCAGAATTCCACCAGACTTCCAAAAGAAAAAAAAAAAAGCTAATACCAGTACTACTCAAATTATTCCAAAAATAGAAAGGTCATTACCAAATTTTTCAAATTCTTTTTATGAGGCCACAGTGACTCTGATACCCAAACCACACAAAGATTCAATGAGGAAGGAGAATTACAGACCAATTTTCTTTATGAACATCGATGCAAAAATGCCCCATAAAATACTGGCAAATCAAAAACACATGAAAAATGTCATCCACCATGATCAAGTGGCCTTCATCCTAGAGGTGCAGGTATGGTTCAATATATGAAAATCTCTTGTAGAAGAATTGTTTCTATGGCCATTTTACTGTGCCAATAAAGTCACCTTGTATCAAAGGATGGAGTCAGCATTTGGTTAACTGAGATTAGCAATAGAGTTCTTGGAGGACAGAAGAGGTAGGCTAGAGAGCACAGGAAGAGAGAAGAGAGGAATTCAGGGGCTGGTGGTTGGGGAAAAATGTGAAGAGAGAGTCAATCAATCAACTCTTCACTGTCCTTAGATTTATCAGTTCTTTATCTCAATTTCTGTCTCCCGAGTTTTTATTATACTGGAACAATTTAGATATTCTTTACATCTGGCATCTAAAGTGTGCCATTATTAAACCACATCAAGATCGTGAACCTGGCACACTGCTGCTGCTGCAGTGGCCACCTTTATCTCCCTCCCCACTGGCCTGCACACCTGTTTTTCTGATTCTGGGTTTTTTCTGTTGCAGTCTTTCTACAGCAGCCTTCAGCTGCTGCCTGCCCTCAGCCCCCAAACACTTCGCAGGCAAGCTGCCCTGCTGCTGGCCCATGCCCTCACTTCCCTCTATGTGGGTAAACCCCAGACCTCATCTTGGAACCACCAACCCAGGGTAGCTCAGCTATCTTAAAACCTGCACAGCACTCAGTCTCTTACTGCTGCTGCCACTGCCACGAGCTGCTGAGGGGGCCCAGCCCTGCACTGCCAGTGTCCTCTACCCAGCCATGCTGAGCAGCAACAGTTAGCCACAGCTAGTGACAGAAAGGGTGATCCAATCCCAAGCCAAGCCAAACAAATTTCCCCTACCAGTTTCCATATGTTAGCTCCTCAGAAAACACACCCTATTCCCTGCTTTGTGCATGAACAGCCACAGTGGCCCCTGTCATACCTGCCCTCCATGCAGGCACAGTTGAACATCATCACTGTAGCTGCTTATTCCCACACATCTCTTCCTATGTGGTCAGCATCATCAGATCTGGAAAGATACTTGGGAATTTTTAAACAGAAAATTAGGTTTAAAAATAGATTTAAAAAAAGCAAAATATTTCCAATGTTAAGAATTATAAACATCACAATGAAGGAAGTTAGGACCCTAAAATGTTTAGGAACACTTTGGATGGCTTGCAAACAGAAAAAAATAAATGAGGGGATAAACAACTTACTTGGTATTGACATAATATTAATCATAATTAGTATCAGTCTGGTAATTCATATTTTATCCTTAAAGAAGTGGTTTGATAACTTTGCCAAATATGATAATTTGACTGATAAGATACAAAGTCTTTCTATTTATAAGATACAAGCTTTAGAAAGATATACTACTGATAAGAAATATTTGAGTGATAAGATCCAAACCTTAGAAGGACTTAGTATTGAAAAGATACAAGCATTAGAAAGACCACCTAGTGAAAATAAGAAAATATTCAGATACAGACCAAGGAATTTACACAAGAACCTTCTGCACCATTGCATTATGAAACCTAAGAAGAGTAGCCAAAGGTTAGTAGAATCCCAACTTCAATTTATCCAGTTATCATAGAAGATAGGCACTCCCAAGGTTAGGCAGAAGTTGTGGTGATATTTTATTTGTGCTTTAATAAAGTTTGCCTGTGATATCAGAGGAAATAGCAAGCCATTTTAAGTAAACATAGAAGTCAGGCAGTGGTAGCACACGCTCTTAATCCAATCACTTGGCAGACAAGGTCTCTATGTGTTCAAGGCCATACTAGGGAACAGAGTCAAGTGTGGTGACACTCACCTTTAATCCCAGTACCAACCATAGAGACCTGGAGGTATGTACAGACAGACAGTGACAAGGAAGTGAGGTAGCTGGGATAAGATAGCCAATGAGAAGGCAGAACAGCAGGGCAATAAAGGTGTGGGTGAAACAAGAAGTAGCTCATATTTGGAAGCTACAGAGCTGGTGAAGTAAGGTTGGCTGGTGGCTATTCCTATTTCCCTGATCTCTAAGGCTTTCATCCCTATATTTGGCTCCATGTTTTTTATTTAATAAGACCATTTAGAAATTTGTCTACAAGAAGTTAATTGTGATACCGTAAAAATGTTAGATTTGAAGAAATTTTAGGAAGCATTTGTTTAATAAGGTATGCATTTACCCTTGGTGAAACAGTTGTTAAACTCATGGGCAACTTGGAAAAGAATTATTCCACAAGACTGAGAAGCTTTAGCTAAGAAATATTGGAAGCGGGTCCTCAGTTACAATGGAAAACATGGTGGATAGAGGAAGCTAGCATCATAGGACAAAGAAATAGGTCTAGAGGTATTGAAATTTCCCAAGACCATCTTCTCTGTGATGGCTAGAATGCTGATTTGTAAAGGCAGTCTACATTTGATGATCACTACTCGGTTCTATGCTCTATAGCATCTTTGAATGCTTAGGACAGTGTTGAAGAATGAGGAAATGACTGAGTCATTTACTAAAATTATACAAGGTCCAAAAGAAGACTTCAGTTCTTCAGTTTTTTTTTGTTTTTTTTTTTTTAAACAAAGATTGACTTCAGTTGTAAATAGAATGTTATTAGATACAGAAGTCAGACAAATATCAATTGAATCTTTGGATTTTTCAAAATGGTAATTCAGAATGCTAAAGTAGGCCTTTAAAGGCAAGATCAACACCCATAGATGAATATATCTGAAATATGATACTGGATGTTACACATATGATGCTGCTTTGATAGAAGTAATTTTTAGAAATTTTAAGAAAACTTAAATGTCAGATATTTTCATTGTGGTAAACAAGGTCATTTGAAAAGCGATTGTAGGCAAGATGTTCCTAGGAACAGTGATGGATGGGTGAAGTTGCTCTGTATGCTATGAATGTGTTGATCTGATTTGTTGATAAATAAAATGCTGATTGGCCAGTAGTCAGGCAGGAAGTATAGGCAGGATAAGCAGACAAGGAGAATTTTGGGAAGAGGAAGGTTGAGTCAAAAGCCACCAGCCAGACACAGAGGAAGCAAGATGTGAAGGCAGAACTGAAAAAAGGTACCAAGCCACACAGCTAAACATAGATAAGAATTATGGGTTAATTTAAATGTAAGAACTAGTCAGTAATAAGCCTGAGCAAATGGCCAAGCAGTTATAAATAATATTAAGCCTCTGTGTGATTATTTTATAAAAGGCTATGGGACTGTGGGTGAGAGATTCGTCCTGACTGTGGGCCAGGTGGTACAGAGAAAAACTTCTGGCTATAGAATAGTGTTTTTTTCTAGAGACAATCCAAACAGAAGGCTCCAGTCTTCTGGAATATGCAGAAGGGATAGCAAAGGATGTCATTGGACTAATGAATTCAGATAAACAAGGGACAGACAGGTAACTCTTTGTCATTGGGAAATGACATACAAGATAACTAAAAAACAACAGTATCCATCATATATACAAATGATAAAAAGGCTGACAAAGAAATCAGAGAAACAACACACTTCACAGCAGCCACAAACAATATAAATATATTAGCTTTGTGCAGTGGCAGTATCGTAGCCAATGAGGTTTATTCAAGGCACGATTATTGCTAATTGAAAACAATATAAATATATTATGGTAACTCTAACCAAGAAAGTTAAAGACCTATATGACAAGAACTTCAAATCTTTGAAGATGGAAATTGGAGAACATATCAGAAGATGGAAAGATCTCCTGTGTTCATGGTTCTGTAACATTAACAAAGTTAAAATGACCATCTTACCAAAAACAATCTATATATTAAACTCAATTCCCACCAAAATTCAACAAAATTCTTTACAGAACTTAAAAGAATAATAGTTAACTTCACCTGCAAAAACAAAAGTTCAAGGACATCTAAAACAATGCTGTACAGCAAAAGAACTTCCAGAGGTATCCCCATCCCTGATCTCAAGCTCTACTACAGGGCTATAGTAATAAAAACAGCATGGTAGTAGCATAAAAACAGACAAGTGGGTCAAAAGAATTGAAATGACAATGCAGACATAAATCCACACACTTATGGATACCTGTTTTTTTTTTTTTTTTTTTTTTTACAAAGAAGCCAAAATTATACAATCAAAAAGAAAGTATCTTCAACAAATGGTGTTGGCATAACTGGAGGTCAGAAGGTAGAAGAATGCAAATTGATCTGTATCTATCACTCTGCACAAAAATCAAGTCTAAGTGGATCAAAGATGTCAACATAAATCCAGATACACTAAACTTGATAAAAAAAAGAAAGTGGGAAATATCTTTGAATGAACTAGCAGAGGATAAAACTTCCTGAATAGAACACCAGTAGCACAGACACTGAGATCAAGAATTAATAAATGGGACCTCATGAAGCTGAAAATTTTTTCTGAGGCAAAGGACACTGTTGGTAGGACAAAATGCCAGCCTACAGAATGGGCAAAGTCTTTACCAACCCCACATCTGACAGAGGCCTGATTTCTAAAATATATAAAGAACTCCAGAAAACTAGACATCATGAAACCGAATAAACCAAACAAAAAATGGAGTACAGACCTAAACAAAATTCACAACAGAAGAATCTTAAATTGCATAGAAACACTGAAATGTTCAACATCTTTAGCCATCAGGGAAATGAAAGTCAAAATGACTCTGAGATTCCATCTTACACCTGTCAGAATGGCTAATATCAAAAACATAAATGACAACTTATGCTGGAGATGATGTAGAGAAAGGGGAACACTCTTCCATTACTGGTGGGAATGCAATCTTGTACAGGCATTTTGGCAATCAACATGACAGTTTTTCAGAAAATTGGGAATCAATCTACCTCAAGGCCCAGCTATACCACTCTTGAGCATATACCCAAAGGATACTCAATCATACCATAAGGACACTTGCTCAGTTGTGTTCATAACATCTTTGTTTATAGTAGTCAGAACATGGAAAAAACCTAAATGCCTCTCAACCAAAGAATGGCTAAAGAAAATATGATACACCTGCAGAATGAAGTATTACTCAGCTGTTAAAAACAGCAACATCATGAAATTTGTAGCAAATGAATGGAACTAGAAAAAAAATCCTGGGTGAGGTAACCCAGACCCAGAAAGACAAACATGGTATGTACTCCCTCACAAGTGGATATTAGTTGTAACTAAAGGACAACCATGCTATAATCCATAGACCCAGAGAGGCAAGGTAACAAGGATTGCCCAAGGGATGACACATAGATATCCCTGGTAAGGAGAAATTGAAGAGATTTCATGGGTGCACTGGAGGTGGGTGGTGATTGGAACATGAGGGATCAGGTTGAGGGTAGGTTGCAGGGGGAGAATACTAAAAATAATTACTAGTACTAGAAATCTAGCCAAATACACAGAGGTAGTGAGATCATGTATCTTAGATTAACTACTAACACCACTTTACCAGGGGTGGTATATAATTCCAAATTGCATTCTAAATCTTAACTTTATACCCATAGATAAATATAGGTCTCAGCCCTCATCAGAGAAACTTCTCTGTGTAGCAAATGAATGAAACAGAGGCCATGACAAGAACAAGTAATGCTGGAGAGATAAACAAAATGTCAGGAGCCAAAGCCCAAAGAATACATCTACAGCATAACACAACTCCTGACATTGGATGCAGGAAACATCACAGAAGAAACAGAAGTATTTTAAGAGCCAGAGAACAAGAAATTCTACTATGGGGTTGTGTCTCCTAAAAATGAAACGGAAGCTATACCCATGACATTGCAACAGTATTGCTGCCTAAATAAGACCTGGGCAATGATGGTAAGGGGGAAATAGAACAGGGTTCCAACCCTAGAAAAGAACTATAGACAATTAATTATTGCTGAGAGAAGGAAGATTTACCTGTGAAGAAATGAGACCCCCTAATTGGTTACTCAATACAAACTGGTCAGCCCTGAGATAAAAAAAAAAATGGACTCATCAGGTAATATTGCATGCATATTTATATGTAACAATAATAAAGAAAAAGAGACCATCAATTAGAGAAGATGTGGGATATTAGAAGAGAAGGAAGGATGAAGTGATATAATTATATTATTTAAAATAAATTAATATAAATACAAAATTATATTACTTAAAATGATATAAAAAATAAACATTTTGAGATTTCATCTTACCCCACTCAGAATTTATTTTATTTATTTATTTATTTATTTATTTATTTATTTATTTATTTATTTATTTATTTAGACAGACAGATAGATAGATAGTTCATGGTGTGGATGTAATAAAAGGGAAATATTTACATTTTGTAGGAGTACAACCTGGTGTAGCCGCTGTGGAAATCAATGTCGAGGTTTCTCAAAAATATAAAAACAGAACTGCCATATGAGCTATATTCAGAACTCTTGCATACATGCAGAAGAGATTCATACCCCACCACAGAGGCACTTGTGTATCCATCTTCACTGCGGCTCCATTCACAATAGGAAACTGAATCAACCTAGATGCCCATCAGCTGAAGAATGGTTAAGGGGAGATTGTGCCACATAGACACAATGAAATATTACTAACCTATAAGAAATTATAATCATGAGATTTACTGTTAAATGTATGGAACTGAAAAAACTTATCCTGAGTAATACAAGTAATACAAATACAAGTAATACAAATGTCATGTTCTCTCTTAGATGTGGATATTATCTTTAAATCCATTGTGTGTGTGATTAACCTGGACTTTATGTGGAATCCAGGTACTTAAGAAGCCCTTTGGGGAGAGATACATTAATGGAGGGGAGATATTAAAACATAAGGAAAATGGGAAATACTGGAGGAGGAAATAAATAAAACATTGAAAGGAGAGGGGTGGGAAAATGAAGGAGTGGTGGAATGCCTAGTTAAAATGTAGGGTGTATCTAATACTATACAGAAACCTATGAAATAGCCACCTGTGTAATATACTGTATAATAGAGTGGATTGTAGAACACAGGTAATGAGAAATATGCGGTTGGGATAATCCAGGTCAAAAGTTTAAGTGAGGATGGGGATGGGATGTTGAAATATATGTATGGATATTTGCAGAAGCCTTGTGGAAATACACGAGTTGTAAGCTAATTAGAAATATAATGTATATTGAAAAGAGTTTGGAGAAGAGTTCTTTCCACAGGTGGACAGTGATGCTTTCAAAAGGTATGAGTCAGTAAATGAAAATGTGTGCCCAGCGTAGTTACTTCCCTACAAGTTTTGGTCAGAGAGGCCACAGAGAGTCACCTGAAACAACGCAGGCTACTTCCACCACTCTTATTTTTGAACCATAACTCGATGGTAAAACTTTTTTGAAGACACCACTCGACTTCCTTCTAGCTAGCTTACACAGTTCCAGAAGGTGCAATGGAAGCAGCAAAGAGCAAGAGACAAATTGTGTCCCTCACTGCTAGGTCCTGCATGCTACAATATTGGCCTGCCTGGGAAATTTGCCCACTGGTATTAACAGTGACATGACAGTCACAGGGTAACCAAGAACCTTCTACTTGAGTATGAGGCCCACTGTACAGGAGGTCTTTTGTATTTACTAGGCCAAAGCCTATAACTAGGGAAATCACAGCCCCTAGGTGTGAACACACTGCTATTGTTATAATTCACAGCCATGCTATGATCTGTCTTCTGAATATTTGTGTTTATACCCTTAGATTTGGGTCACTCTCAACTTTGGTCAGAGACGCTCCTTGTGGTTAAGGCAAAGATTCATAGCTGGTGAAAATACAGAGCATAAGTAACTGAAAGCTCAACCATGGATGAATCTGCTATATTAACCTTCACTCACCAAAGGTTATGAGGATATCACAGAAAAGCATGCAGAAAGAATTAAAGAGACAACCGAATCAGAGATTTGAAATGCAGATTTCTGTAAATAACATAACTGCTGCATAATCCAATTAACAGTACTTTTGTCTAACTACTCAAGATCAAACTCTTCAAAGTTCTAACATGAATTGTGAAGGATGTGTCTAATGTCACACCATTGGAGGGGCTATGAGCAACTGATGGCTTATGAGAAAGGGAAAGTCACTCCTTTTGGAGAAATGGCCTCTGTTAGGTTGTCCATGCTCCAGTAGGTGGACTCAGACACATGGGTACATGGGCAATACTAAGTGGACTCAGAGGGTTATTAATAAAAAAAGAGAATGCATGAAGTTGAGAACATACTGGGACCTCTACAGGGAGTTAAAGGGAATAAATGGTCAATGGATAAAATAAAAATATATTGTCTAAATGCATAAGCTCTTGAAAGAATAAAACAATTTTAAAAAGTACTCTAAGACAATGTGATGGTTTGAATAAGAATGGCCTTCATAGGCTCATAGACTTGAATGCTTGAATTAGGAAGTGGGGCCTTATAGGAGGAAATGTGTCACTGGGAGTGGGCAGTGAGGGTTCAAAAGCCCATGCCAAGTCCAAAGTCTTTTCTCTCTGCCTATGGATCAGGATGTAGTCTTCAACTTCTGCTCCAGAGTCTGCTGGCATGCCACCGTGTTTCCTGCCATGATGATAATGGCCTAAACCTCTGACACTGAAAACAAGCCCCAGATTAAATGCTTTCTCTTCTAATAGTCGCTTTGATCATGGTGTCTCTTTACATCACCAGAACAATGGCTAAGATAGTTAGGCTGTGGTTCAAGTCATACAGTTAAAATAAGCAATCAGTTGTAGGCCAAATTTAAAATACATACTATTTCACACCTTTTTTATTTTCCCAACCTAATATTTTATTAATCATTTGAGAATGTCATACAACATACCTCAATCACAATTGATTCCCATTCCTCCCAGGTCCACCCTCTCACCTTTGTGGCATCCTCCCCCAGAATAGAAAAAATACAATATAACAAGTCCAATTGGTGTTCTCCTTATACTCATTGGAGCTTGGGCAAACTTGCAGTAGCTAGCCCTTCAAAGAGGAGTTCTTTCCCAACCCCTGCCTGAAGCCATCAACTCTGAAGACCTACAGTTAAGTATTTTTATTACAACTTTCAAGAACTCTCCAATAAGATCCTGTCTAGATTTTCTTTTTTGGAGGGATGGTGGCATAGAAGCCTTCAATGTCCATCTGAATTTCAGTTATGATCTACAGTCATTGATACTACTGCAAAAGAATTTCCTTGCCCATAAAAGTCAGTGGAAGTATAGATCAAGGCCTTCCACATGGTTTCCAGCAGGACAATGAATCATAGACTTCTACAGGGTATCCAGGAGCAGCACAGATCATGGAATACAAGATTACTGGTGACAGCTTGGATAACTGCCATCCATCTGGTCCAGGACATCAACACAGATCACCAACATAACATGTTTGAGGGAGGCATCACAGATCACTATCAGGAAGTTTTCTTGTGGCAGTACTGATCACAGATATCGACACAGTCTCCATCAGCAGCTGGGTCATGGATATCCAACTGGTCTTCAGCATACAACCCAGAGCATGAACATAAACATAGTATTTGAGGGCATCAAGGACAAAGATTGCAACATGGTTTCCAGCACAATGATGGCTTAATGATATCAAAATAGTTTCTGTTGGCAGCTCAGATCATTCATATTGACCTAGTCACCAGTAGAAGGACCAATCAGAGGCATCAACATTATGGCTGACAGCAGCAAAGACTAAAGTCATCATGGTCATCATCATGGACTCAGGTGGAAACATGGACAATGGATATTCACAAGGTCTAAGATTCCAACAAAGACTATGGCCATAAACATGGTTATCAGCAGCAGCAAGAATGAGTGACATCAACATAATTTCAGATGTTAAGTCAGATAATGGACATCCACATGGTCATAAAGGGAACAAAGATCAGTGACATCAACATGGTTGGTTTCCTGTGGCAGATCATAAACATCAACTTAGTTTCAGGTGGCAGACAAATCACAGAATTCAACATTGTATACAGTGCCAACACAGGACACTTACCTGAAGTGGGTCTCAGGTGGTAGTATATACCATTGATTTCAGAATTGTCACAGATTATAACAGACTAGAGACAGCAGTATGGTTACAAGTGGAAGCAAGTTTCAGTAACATCAACATGGTTGACAGCAACAGCAAAGATCAGTGACATCAACAAAGTTCCAGATGACAGGTTGAATCATGGATATCTGCAAGGTTAAGAGAGGCAGCAAGAATCAGTCACATCAACATGGTTGCCTGTGTCAGTATAGATCGTGGATATCAACTTAGTTTCAGGTGGCAGACAGATCATGGAAATCAATATTGTACACATGAGGGACACAGGAAACTTACTTGAACTGGGTCTAAGGAAGCAGTATGGACGAATGACTTCAACACTGTTTCTGATGACACTGTACACTGCAGACACCAATATGATTACAGGTAGTTGCAAAGTTCAGTGACCTCAACATGGTTGACAGCTACAACGTAGATCAGTAACATCAAAAAAGTTTTGGACAGTAGGTTGGATGATGAACATCAACATGGTTAGAAGATGCAGCAAAGAACAGTGACATCAATATGATTTCCTGCAGCGGCATGCATCAGGAGTATTAAATTAGTTCTGAATGGCATGTGGATCAAGGAAATCAACATTATTCATGTTGGCATCACAGAATACTTACCTCAATGTGGTCTTAGGTGGTAGGACAGAACATGGGCATCAACATTGCATCCAGGGGCAACAAGGATCGCAGGCATCACCATGGCTTCCTGAAGCATTAGGGGTTGAATGGTAGGTCAGATCATGGGCAGCAACATAGCTAACAGAGGCAGCAAAGATCAGAGACGTCATAATGTTTGCCACCAGCAGTACAAATCAGTGATATCAACATAGATTTGGGGGCAGATCAAATTCCAGACAACAACATGGTTAACAGAGGCAGCACAGATCAGAGACAGCAGCATGGTTACTGGTAAAATATGGAGCAAGGACATCAATATGGTCTCTAGTGGTAGCAAAGACAAACACTATTAATGTAGCTTTCAGAATGAATAGGGTCATGGAAATGACATGGTGTCCAGTGGAAAGAGAGACTAGATGCATCAACACGGTTACCAGTGGCAGCATAGCCCCTGCTGTCACATTGAGACAGGAACATCAATATGCTTACCAGAAGTAGGAAGAATCCATGACATCAACATGGTTTTGAATGGAGGATTGGCTCATGGATATCAACATAGTTAAAACATGCAGCAAGGATCAGTGACATCAAAGTGGTGGCCTGAAGAAGCATGGGTGATAAAGTACAACTTAGTTTTGGAGAGTAGGTTAGATCAAGAGAAGAACATACTTCACATTGGCAACAAAAACATTTACCTCAGCACAGATTCAGGAGTCAGAACAGAACATCGACATCAACATCATATTCAGGGGCACCAATAACCACAGGCATCAACATGGCTTCCAGAAGCAGTAGGGATAGCATGGTAGGTCAGATCATGGTAATTAACATGATAAAAAAAGAAGCAAGGATCAGTGATATCAACATGGTTCCAGGGACAGAATGAATTATAGATATCAACTTAAGTTCCAATGGCAGGTCAACTCATGGAAATCAATATTCTTCATGTGGGCAACACAGAAAAATACCTCAGCATGGTATCAGGTGGCAGGTCACACCATCAATATAAGCATCTTATACAGGATCAAAAAGTACCACAAGGCATCAACATGGACTTCAAACCAATAGGAATAGCATAGTAATGTTCATGAACATGATAAAGAGGACAGCAGACATCAATGTCATCAACAAGGTAACAGGTGGCAGCATGTAAATAACAGTTTCAGATGGTAGCTGAGATCATGGCAATTAACATTGATCACATTGCCTGCACAAAACTCTTGCAACAATAGGGTCTCATGTAGCAGAAGATCTCCATGGATATGGACATCAATGTCATATCCACAGTAAGAAAGATCACAAGCATCAACAAGGCTTCCAGAAATAGTAGGAAGAGCATGGTAGGTCATCCAACCATGGACATTAGTTTGGTTAACAGATGGCATCAACATGGTTTCAGGTGCCATCATGAATTATGGATTTCATCTTATGTTTGGATGGTGGGTTAAATCATGCAAATTAACATTCTGCATGTTGGTAACACCGAACAATAATTTAATGCAGTCACAATGGGCAGGAGAGACCTTGGAAATCAACAATGTATATAGTAGTTAAGAAGGACCACAGGCATCTACATGGCTTCCAGAAGAAGCAGGAATACCATGATGTCCTATGTTAGACATCAATTTGATTAACAGAGTAGGATCAATGACATCAACATGGTTTCAGGTGCCATCATAAATTATGGATTTCATCTTATGTTTGGGTTAAATCTTAAAAATTAACATTTTTCTCATTCACAAAACAGTGGCAGGAAAGATAGATATAAACTTCATATTGAGGAACAAGAATGACCACAGGCATTGACATGGCTCCCTGAAATAGTAGGAATACCATGGAATGTCCAATCACAGACATCAAGACCATTAACAGAGGCATCAGGGAATAATGGCATCAACATGTTTATAGACAGCAGCATGAATTATGGATATTAACTTAGATGGTAGTTGAATTCTTGGAAATTTACTTTGTTCATGTTGGAATAACAGAAACCTTATCTTAATATGGTCATAATTGACCACATAGGTCACCAATATCAAGACGTTATCCAGAGATAACAAGGAGCATGGGCATCAACATGGCTTCCAGAATGAATAAAAATAGCATGGAAGTTCTGATCATAGGCATCAACATGGTTAACAGAGGCAACATCGATCAATAAAATGACCATTGATTCAGATGACACCAAGAATTACGGATATAAAATTAGTTTCCAAAATTGGTGAAATCTTGGAAATTAACATTTCAATGGCTAAATCTTGGAACTTAATGTTCTTCATTAAGTGAGAGAAGACTTAATTTAACAAGGTCAAAGACAGCAGGAGAGATCACAATAATCAATATGGTATCCACAGGTACAAATATGATGGGCATCATCATGGATTCCAAATGTTGTAGGAATATCATTATAGTTAGAATCATAAACACCAGTATGTCCAACAGAGGCATGAGGGATCACTGACTTCAACATGTTTGGAGGTGGCACCATGCATTCTGTATATCAACTTAGTTTCAGTTGGTGGTTAAATTCTTGGAAATTTATGTTCTTCACATTGACAGAACAGAACACTTACATTAACATTGTCACAGGTAGCAAGAGATATCAAGGAAATCTATATGGAACATACTGGCAAGAAAAACCACAGGCATCCACATGGTTTCTAGTAATGCCAGAAATACCATAAGACATCAAATCCTGGACATCTACATGTATACTACATGCAGCAGGGATAAATCAATTCAGTTTATATGTAGGGAGCAGCAAGTATTCTAGATATCAACTTAGTTTCAGTTGGTATTTCAGTTCGTAGAAATTTACTTTCCTCACATTAGCAAAAAAAGAACACTTACCTTAATATGACCATAAGGGGCCATAGAGGTCATGGCAATCAAGATGTTATCCCATGATAACAAGGACCACATGCATCAACATGGCTTACACAACCAATGGGAATGCATGGAAGGTCCATTCAGATATCAAAAAGGGCAACAGAGGCAGCAGCGATCAATGACATCAGCATTGGTGCAGGAGGAAGTATGAATTACAGATATCAGCTAAATTAATGGAGGTTCATTAAATCTAGAGAATTACCATTCTATAAATTGCCAAAAAGCAACACTTACCTTAATATTGTCACTTGTACTTGGAGAGATCATGGAAATCTACCTGGTGTCCACAGGAAAGAAGATCATGAGCATCAACATTGCTTCCAGGGGGTAGGATTAGTAATTGTAGTTCCAATCATGGACATCGACATGTTTAACTCATGGACACTCAGCTGGGAAAATGACCCCAAATTGTTTGAGGTAGCAGCAAGTATTAAGAATATTAATTTAGTTTCTCTTGGAAAATGCATTCTTCACATTGGCAACACAGAACACTTACATTAATAAGGTCATAAGGGGATGCAGAATAAATAGCAATCAAGATGTAATCCCATGGAAACAAGAACTGCATGCATCAAAATGGCTTACAGAATCACTAGGAATGCATGGGAGCTCAATTTATTAATATAAACAGGGTTTTAAAAGGCAGCAGTGATCAATGACATCAGCATGGGGGCAGGTATCAGTATGAATTATGTGTGTCAACTTAGTTAACAAAAGGTTGTTAAAACTTGGAAATTACCATTCTATACATTGGCAACAAGGAACACTTACATGAACATGATCACCTAAAGCAGGAGAGATCAAGAAAATCAACATGGTGTCCAGTGGTTTACAAGATCATGAGCATCAACATTGCTACCAGAGGTAGTAGGAATAGTATTATGTATCTAATCATGGACATCCATATGGGTAACAGAAGCAGCAGGGATCATTTAAATCCATAAGGTTTCAGGTGGCAGCATGTTCAATGGATAGCCACATAGTTTACTATGATAGTTTAGATCAGGAAAATTAGTATTCCTCATGGTGAAAACACAGAACTCTTTCTTCAACATGGTCTCAAGTAGCAGGACAGATGGACATCAACATCAGATCCATGGGCAAGAAAGAACCTGGCATCAAAAATAGCTTCCAGAAATAGTGGGAATAGCAAAATATGTCTTCTCATGGACATCCACATGTTTAACAGATGCAGCAGTGATGAATGAATTCAATTGGTTTGGAGTTGACAGCAAGTATTCCAGATATCGACATAGTTTAGTTCTTCAAAATTTACATTCTTTATGTTGGCAACACAGAACACTTACATTAATAGAGTCATAAGGGGCCAGAGTAGTCATGCCAACCAAGGTGTTATTCCATGGTGACAAGGACCACATGCATCAACATGGCTTACAGAACAAATAAGACTGCATCACAGGTTCTTTCATAGACATCATTAAGGTTAACCGAGGCAGCGGATGTCAATGACATCAGCATGGGTGCAGGTGGCAGAATGAATTACAGATACCAGCTAAGTTAAGAAAGGTTCATTAAGTCTCAGGCATTGCCATTCTATATATTGCCAAAAAGGAATACTTACCTTAACATGGTCACTTCAAGCAGAAGATGTCAAAAAATAAAACTGGTGTCCAAGGGTAAGAAGATCCTGAGCATCAACATTGTGTCCAGAAGGAGTAGGAATAGCATTGCAGTTCCAACCATGGACATACACATGTTTAATAGACTCATCTGGGATTAATGTCCCCAACATGTTTTGAGGTAGCAGCATGCATTCAGGATATTAACTTAGTTTCTGTTAGTATTTCAATTCTTAGAAATTACATTCTTCATATTCGCAGAACAACACAGAACATGAACATTAGTAAGGTCAAAAGGGGATGGAGAATTCATAGCAATCAAGATGTTGTCCCATGTTAACAAGGATCACATGCATCAACATGGCTTACAGAACCAACAGAAATGCATGGGAGCTCCATTCATTAATATCAACAGGGTTAGCAAAGGCAACAGTAATCAAAGACATCAGCATGGCTGGAGGTGGCAGTATGAATTA